GAGCTTAGGAGTTCGAAACCAGCCTGAGCAAAAGGGAGAACCCCCATCTCTACTAAAAGTAGAAAAATTATCTGGTCATCTAGGCACATGCATCTGTAGTCCCAGCTACTTGAGAGTCTGAGGCAGGAGGATTGCTTGAGCCCAAGAGTTTGAGGTTGCAGTGAGCTGTGATGATGCCACTGCACTCTACCAGGGGTGACAGAGGGAGACTCTATTTCAAAAAAAAACATTAACTGAATAAAGGCCAAACACAATTCTTAAAATCTTATCTCTTAGTAGAAGGGCTGTATTAGGAGGAAGTTCTGGTATCTGGCCAAGAAAATTTACTGTCATGGAAAATATATTTGCCTCTTGGCTCTTTTGGGTGTAATGCCCTCTTTCATGAGGTTTCTTGAGTTCTTTCAGTATATGGTCTTTTTTCATATACCTATTATTCATTTGCCATTCTCAACCAGATTTTGGCAGATGATAATGGAAGAAAGGGGGGCACAGGCTCTCTCAGTTAAAACCACTAGGTTATAACATGTGGCTCTTTCAGTTGCAACATGTAGTCAGTACCATCCTGTTTAGCACCTAAATGCTCTGTTTGCATTGCTTTTGACTCCTTCACTAGCTTGTACTCATAACTGGTGTGTATAACTACTATAGGCTTAGATGATTTACTGTGCCCAGAATGATATTCATGAATTAACTTCAAGAGCTCCCACCCCAGGTCACTGCAGCCACTTCTTAAGAGTCATCTACTCAGGGCTGCTTCCTGGTCACCTGATCATGAAAGGCAAGCAAAACTGGATCATATTCCATATTTCCAAGTCCAGGTGAAACTGTGAAAATTAAAGTGCTCTAGTGACTACACCCATGAATCTGCAGAAATAATTTCCAGCAACAAACGTTGGTACAGATTTCTACCTTCCAGGAAGATTACATCTGTCATAGCCTTTAAGTTTTGTAGGAGAAAGAAATAATTGACTACTTACCAATTGAGCCTGATATAAAACCATGAATTGAGCTAATTCTGTAGTTTACACGAGGGTGATATGCTCAGTCAGAATTTTGCTAAGATTAGGGTAAAAAGTACATTTAATCACTGTCTTTCTGATGATCAGTTTGAAAAACAAAATTTCAGCCATTGCTAATTGTTCTTCCTTGCTATGAGATTTGATTTTTATTTATAACAAAGACAGAAGAAAGGCCTACCCTTTCTTTATTACCTACCATGATTTCCAAATCCTTTGTGAGGTGTGTGTTTTCATAACTGTAGTCTCAGGAGATGCTCTCTGAAAAACAGTTGTATGAAAAACAAGTTCCATGGTCAGATATGTTAGGGAAAGATATGTCACTCCTTTGATATTTATAATAGACGTTAGCATAGGGAAGCCACTGAGAAGTCTTACAGTGAAGAAATGTATGTAATGTCACTTCACCCACAGACTCCCCAAACTATCCGACCACAAAACCCTGTTTTCAAATAACACCTATTAACATCCTGTGGAACAGTGGTCCATTGAATGTCCTTGGAAAGGATATATTAGAGCGAGAAGACATCTAACAAAGCCAAGATATTTTCCAACCCTCAACTATACTAAATAAATACCATATTTCAATGGCATGCATTCAATTACCTAATATTAATTCATTTTAAAAGTACACATTTTTAACATCCACTCTATTATAGTAAGGGTCTTGTCATTGGATACAAGTGCTATATCAACACAATATCTGCCCTTTAGAAGCCTCTGGTATTCTTGGATAGAAAAGATATATCTCCTTAAAGGGAAGTTGCACAGAAAGGCTACATGTGATTACGTAAAAATTAGTGGGGCAGAAATAAGCACTACGAGAGTTGAAAGGCGGAGGGCAATTGAATGCACATTATCCACTTTTAGAGACAATGGCAAAATACATACACACCCTTTGTTCCCTTCTGCCTGTCATTTTTTCTTCCTCTCCCAGAGACACACAGAATACAAAATGTGCTATTTGTTCTGTGCCCACAGCTTTGGCAGGTTGGGATCCCTACGTTGTTAAGCCAAAAGGCATTCAATATTAGAATTTATTGTCAGAACTTCACAGATCTTAGAACCGGGGCTTGAAGAAAACTCGCACCCTCATCTAAGCCACCACAGCCGGGGCCTGATCCCAGTGGTCCTCAGGCTTCCACCCTGGCCCCCTTACAGGACAATTCCCCCAGCAGCAACCAGAATGATTCTTTTCAAATGTAAATTTGACTGGGTCTTTTCTCCAGTGGCTTCCCATCACAATTAAATTAAAACCCAGATTCTCTACCGCCAGCTACAAAACCCTGTAGTGATCTAGCCCTGGCTACCCTTCCCACCTACCTCCCACCACTCTCCTCCTTCACCGGACTCCAGCCCAACTGGGTATCTCCTGTTCCTCCCGCTGAGGGCCTGTGTACTTGCCACTCCTTTCTCCCCTGTGGCCTTTCTCCTCGCTTCATCAGGTCTCTGCTCAAATGCTGTCTCCTGGGAAAAGCCTTCCCTGGGCCCCCGTCTAAGATAGCTACCTTACTGCCCACCTCTCTTCCACTTCATTCTCCATTCCCCTCATCCTCCTTACTTTTCTTCAATAGGCTTATTGCTATTTTAAAAAATATTTGTGTTTTTACTTGTTGACCTCTGTGAGGGCACGGGTATTATTCTGTTTTGTTGGATGCTGCAGTCTGTAGTGCCTGGCACAGCTTAGGTATTCCATAAATGTTTGCTGAGTGAATGAGTTAATCAATGAATGGTCGAAAGCATAAATGTGCCATAGAAATGTACATCTATAGCAAAACAGGATACATGTCAAAGAATCTGGATGAATTAGAAAATATACACCTTTTTATAAAAATCCAGCAGGTGACTAACTTTGATGGTGGCACAGGAATTTCAAGAGTTTGTCCTGGAGAGAGCCAGTCACCTATCGTTGTATTTACACAACTTCTACGTGTCTCAGTTCTCTTAACTGTAAAAAGGGAATAAATAACAACTATCTTGCAGGATTATTGTGAGGATTAAATGAGATAAGGTATATGAAGCCCATAGGCCAAGCACCTTCCACATTGGATGGTAATTATTGTTAATTCCCAAAGGCCTCTTTTATAGAATTTCCTTAAATAGAAAGGTACCATTTATTAGTTCAAAGTGAAGGCCTTTGGGTTCAATAATATGTAGGAAAAAAATCACTTGCTATATGGCCAAAGAAAGAAAGTTTTTAGATTATTGTTTTGAACTATCTAGACAAAAAGAATTACTCCTAAGCATATCTGATGATATGAATATATGATACCTCACTTTCCTCTGATGTTTTTGAGTTTTAGGAGACTTCTTAGCTTACCAGGAGAAAGTTACATGGAGAGTTTTAAAAAAAAAACTTTGATTTTGGAATAATTTACGACTCTGAAGAAGTAGAAAATAGTATAGTTTCCATATAACCTTCACCCAGCTTCCACCAATGATAGCGTATATAACCATAGTGGAGTATCGAAACCAGGAAATTAACACTGGTGCAATTCTATTAACTCAGATACAAAACTTCTTTGAATTTATATGAAGGATATTTTTTTAACTTAGAGTTAGGAGCTAATTGGGATCATATCTTGGCTTCATTAATCAGGCAAATGAGACACACTTACATATTAGTGTATAAAAACTGTAATTTATATAATGCTTTTCATTTTCAGTGAATTTTAGAATTTAAAAAGCTATTAGTCCCAACCTACCTAGAAATCTGGTCTACTCATTCTATAAAAGCAAATCACAAAGCCCTTCACAGTTTCAAAGGGACATAGACAAGAGAATCCCTGATTTTAATCTGTAAGGTCAAAGCTCTTTTTTCCTGGAGAAACTAATTCCTCCTTTTCCTGTCAGTTCTGGGTATTGCTGTGCGTTGGTGTTGGGGGGAAACAAAGCTGAGGGCAGGCCCAGAATTCAAGAAGCATTGCAACTCCAGCTAGGCAAGGATTAGAGTAGAGATGTAGGGGCCACTCAAATGCCAGCAGAAGGAAGCCATGCCTGCAGGCCCTGCAGGAGGCATCCTCACATGCGTTTGCTGTGCCTCCACAGGTGCAGGTGCAGGTGCCGCCCGCACCTGGGCTGGTCACACACAAGGGCCCACGTGCCAGCTGTTCCTCACCCAAACCACATTCTCCTTGCCCCACCGCCTCTCCACCCACCACTTCTTCCAGCTCTGATTGTGACAAATTAGCATCAAGTGAAATTAGTTAATTCGATATAACAAAAAGAGTTGCAAAAATATTCTTTAGAGGAAAAAAAATCTAAAAATACAAACACAAAATCAGGTATAAGTGAGGTACTGACACTTTGTTTCGTTAATAAATGGTTTCTGCTTTCCTTGTTTCTATAACCCCACTTTACAGGGTGGTCCACTTGGACAAATGAAATATAGCTTTCAATGTACCAAGTTGGAGATTACCCACACTTTGTAATTAGTGCCCGGGGACTGAAAACATAGCTTTTAGTTTCAAGGTTAACCTGCTTTAATTTTTGTTTTTTTAATAAGACTTTCCCAAAATGTGATAAGAGAATAAAATAGATTAAGTATGGTAAAATTATGTCACGGTACATAATTTGTGTCATAATGAAAGTGCATAGAATTTGGAACCAGCAGACATGAGTTTGAGTCCTAGCTCAATAATTTACTGAATGTTTAAACTTGGGCATAACTTTCCCTCAGTTTCCTCATCTGTACAATAGCCAACATAGTAATAATACCATCTACTGGGTTCATTTGGCAAATCTAATGAGGTCATAAATATGAAACTGCTTTACAAATAAAAGAGCTTTACAGGTATGTTATCATGCTATGTCGCCTGGAAGAAAAATATTGTAAAAAATCCCATTTAAATCCATTAGAACATTTTAATAAAGAACTTTGAATGTCATCCTAATGAAATGATTTGATAAAGTTTTTTATTCCTTTCCTTCCTTTTTTCCCCCTTTCTTTTTTCTTTATTTTTTAACTAGAGTGAAAAGATTGTATAGAAAAGGGATAGAAGCTATTTTTCTTCATAAAGACATCTTCTTCATAAAGTACATGAAATCTGTAGTGTTGTTTTTCTCCTCATGATTATTCTCCACAAAACTGTGCCCTGAGTCTCGCCATTGTGGAAAATCTGGAGGGAAAACCTAAAGCTAGTCTGCAAGAGAGTTTTCATAAGTCTTCATGGTAATGAGAGAAACGACCACAACTTGGTGAGCTAAATTAATTAAATTTACATGACTGTCATTTATCCTGAGATTATGTCCTCCCTACATTATTTAGTGTAAAAATTCCCTTTCTCTTCTGAAATGATGGTGATAGTGGATGGCAACTGTTTTGTTTGTTTTCAATGTCCTTACTCTGCAAAATAAGAAGTTGGCTACCCTATGTCAGGTCCCAATTATTTTTTGAAATTGGACTGGCCTGTGACATGCCAGTCTCTGGGAACCCTTGGCCTGGGAGGTTAATTGGAGATGGCAGGGATGGCGGTGGGGAAGCGAGTTCAGCTGCCTGTGTTTCACTCTCTTCCCCAGAGCCCGTGGGGCCCACTGCCCCATATCCGGGCTGTCGCCAGTCCCTGGCTGTGTATCTGCGTCCCAGCCCCCCTGGCTCCTCATCCCTGTCCGCCTCGCTCTCCCAGCCTCTCCTGGCTGGCGTCATCCTTCTAGACACAGCTCCCTAAGTTTGCCATGTGCAGTGACCCTGTGTTGACACCGAGCCATGATACAAACTATGGGATTGTAATGAATCTCTAATTACCCACAGTACCTCAGCGAGCCGTCAGCCCTGCTGCTCGGCTATATTCCTCACCAATTTGGTCATCACCAAGCATTCAGACTGCAGCCAAACTCTACGCCTGGAAGCGGGGTGCCCCCACAGTGACAGCCAAATGAGGCTGGCTCTGCAGGCTTCTGGGAATGACAGGATGATTTGCTCACTTGTTATGAACCAGAGAGGGCGTTTGCACATGAATCATTCATCTCTGCGTGGGGACCTTGTTCTCCACTTTTATTTATCCCAGTAGGTCAGGCTGAGTGGATGCTCAGGAACTCTGTGGTGATTGCCCTTGAGTGAGGTGTGGGGGTCAGGGTGAGGGGAGAAGTAAGCATTTTAAATTTCACATGATCATTCTGAAATCCCACATCTTATTCTAAGCCAAAAGGGAGACATGATAACTTGTCTAGATTTAATAAAGTGACAAGCAGCAGGTCTTGATTTTCCAGCATAAAATGTCATATCTTACTAGTGAGGAAAATAGCTTCAGAAGAACGACAATAATAATAGCTCTCCCATGTGCTAGGCATTGGGATGCATATACATTATAGCTATTCTTGACTAAAACAAAAATACAACCCAACAATAAAGATATTTTATAGATAAGGAAACTAAGGCTTAAAGTGGTTAAGTAACTTGTCCAACTCATACAGCTAGGAAGTGGCACTTTGCCTTGTCCCAAAGCACATGCTTTCTAGGAGCATTTAACAGTTGGAACTGGAGAGACATCACTGGTTTCAAAGGGTAGATGGACTTTTAAGGTGCTTTCAGATCCCAAGTGAAGAGTTACTCTTACTTTTCAAAAAATAACTAGAGAATTTTATTTTTTAAAGATTGGTGAGATAGTCAGCATGAAAACATTGATTTGAGAAAAGTTAGTAAAACACTTAAGAAAGTGCTCAACCAAAATTTCAATTCAAATATCCCTGGCACAAATGTTAAATATTCTTTTCAATACTCAAATGTTCCTTTGCATGTGGCAGGTGCTGAGGAAATAAAAATAAATATGACAGTCTATACCTTCAAGGTGCATAATTGGTGTTGTTCTTATTTCTCGCTTAACATAGTATTAAAAGTTATATTTATAAAGTACCATATTTGAACTTGTTTTTAGAGCAGATTACTAATATTTCCCTGGCTTTTCAAAACCAAGGCTTATCATAGCATGAGCAATGTCACACTGTTCAATTTGTGTGGGTGGAGAATGCTTATGGCCACTTGATATCCACCTTGTTCCCAAGCAATGCGAACAACATTTTCAGGGAATAAATGTATGTATTCAGAGGTTGTGTTTTAAAACAGAAATGAATGAGCCATAGGAAATGGTCACACAACTGTGTTTCTGAAGCCAATCTGTTTTCCTAGCTTCAGGAGGTGATTTTAGTCCATAGGCTCCTTACAGGCCAATTAATTCCTTGAATTTGCAAGTAATTTGTAGTTTTTTGTTGTGCAACAAAGCTTTGTGGTTAAGACAGTCATCCCCTGTTCTTGAGACTTACAGCCTTCTCCTACCTCCTAGAACAGATATTAATAATAGAAAGTAACTTAATTCATAGGAAGCAGTTTTATAGTTAAAATCCATAGTTTCTAAATCTAGAACCTCTAAACCATGCTGCCTCTCACCTCATCAATAAACTAATAGAAAGTTTTTGCTATTAGGCAATTTAGAGATTAGCTAATGTCCTCATTTTACAGGTGAAGAAAGTGATGCATGGAGAGATAAAGAGACTTCAAAGACACATTGAAAAAATCTGGCATACAGGATGCTACTGGAATATAAATACATTCTATCTGGGGTGAGAAGTTTGCTTTACTTTAGTTTTGAAGGTTTATTCCTGCTGTGTTATTTCCCACATGTCCCTATAAAGTTGATGATAGTCTCATTATTTGTCTAAAAAATGGTCACTTCCCAAGAAGTCTGTTAACATTTTGGAAATATGAGTCCAAGCAAAAAGATAATTTAGGACATGCCTACATGGATTGAATATAGTGCAGGGTACCTAAGACTTTCAAGCATTACAGTTAATAGCTATGACTTACTGCATGCCTTTTGTATGTCATGTATTATATATATAGCATTCGCTCATTTTCACAAGCCAGAATGTATTATGAATCCCATTTTACAAATAAAGAAAAGTGATGTGTTGCAAGTCACAGAGATTGTCAATTAAATCAAGTTTCATCTACTTCTAAAGTTCAAGCTGTCCTCCCTATGCGTGAACCTAAGTGCCAAAATAAAAAAGGGGAGCATAGTTTCACTCCATTTTCAAAACATGATAAATAGTTGTATCATGAATTTAGGGCTGGGAGGAAGTTTATACAAAACATCCTAATTAAGCCTCTGTACCTGCAAGGTGTCTCACCCCAAATCATGGCCCTTCTATTTCACTGCAGCCACTAAGTCAACAAAGTATTTCTCTTTGGCTCAAGAAAAATGAAAGATGAGACAGCCTTAAAGGAATGAGAAGTAAGCATTGAGTAGGGGTCTTTCTAGGCAAGAATTTGCCTTTAGAAATACTCCCTTGCCTGTTATTATTGTTTCTTTTTGACAGTTGGAACTGAACTTCAGAAAATACCTATTAAAATGCACACATACAGTGTAGAAAGTTAAAGGGAATTGACTGTTCCATTTTTAGTCCCTCCAGCACTCACCTGGAACAGAAAAAAAAAAGAGAGAGACAATGGGCCTTTCTACAGCTCTGCTGGGAAACAAAAGCACACAACTGCATTGTCAAATAAGTCAGGTAACTGTCTAGAACAGGGCAGCAGGTAGAAACTAACCAATGGGGTGAATTTTTTTTCCCATAACATGATTGTGTGCAAGGTTTTATAAGGTTTTCCCCTGCATAGTCCATGACTTTGCACTCATGCTTAAATAACTTTTAAACAAAAAAATCAATGTTTTCAGATGTAAAGAGAATCTAAGAATAGTAGTCATAACAAAAATTTACCTAATATTTGTAGGCTTAAGACCTTCCTGGGTAATATAGTGGTGTGCTTCAGTTTCTGGGCTCTAGAGGCAGATAAGATAGCCTAGGTTCCCAGCTCCAACACTCCTAACTGTGTGACCATGGGTACATTACTGACCCTCTTGGTGCTGTCTCAGCCTCTGTAAAATGGGGATAAAAATAATACCTATTTCATAGAATTATTTCAAGGATTAAGTGAGTTGATATATGTAAAACACTTTGAGTGATGCATGGTACAGGGTAAGTGCACAACAAATGCTCATTCCTATAGTTTTTGTGTTTTGTTTCATTTTTAACAGTCCTTCAGTAAAGCTAGTACATAATGAAGCCAGGACTTGAAGATGAGGAAAAGAGAAAACATTTTGCAATGAATATTTCCTTTTATTTAAAAAAAATGCCCTTCTACTGCTTCCTGTTTCCTCGTGTTAGCCTGGTATTAACAAGGCACCCACTCTGCACAGCTGGGAGACCATTACTGCATTGGTGACTCTCCAGTGTTCAGGAGTTGAGTTGTCAGCTGGGATCATCTTGGTGAGATCTCAGTGGAGCCATTAGTCACAGTCCAGTTACAAAATTAGAAGGAATTACTTCTGGCATTTTTCCTGCCATTTGATATTTGCAGAGTATTGTGTAATCTCCTAGTTACCCTTTACCCACCTGCTGGGATCTAGATAGATGACAAACCTTCCTTCCACTTAACAAATTCTCCTAAATTAAAGGAATAGCTCAGAGTCAGTAATAACAATGGAACTCAAAAGTTTTTTACTTTTTTTCCTCAGATTGATTCCTGTGATAAAACCTATAATAGTTGAATTAACCTTTGAAAAACTCAATGAAACAAGAGAATAATAATGATAATTATTGCTAATATTTGTTATTATGATATAGTAGACACTATTCTAAGATTTTTATGTATACTGATAATAATTCTATGATGTGATTACTCTTATTCCTTCTATTTTACAGATGAGAAAACCAAGGCATTGAGAGATTAAATATTTTGCCTAAATTGCATGGTTGCTGAGCAGTAGAGGGTTCAAACCCAGACAGTCTCACTCTGGGGTCTATGCTCTTCAACACTACGCAGTAGTGGAATCCTGCCCGAGCCCATGACCTAATGAAGTAATTTCATACCTTTCTGCACCCCCTATTTTGAAGGAGACAATAACTGACAAAGTTTTGCACAGAAACCTGTATCAACATCCAGTGATGCAGAGGGGCAGAGAGATCACCAGGATAAAGTGGCTTTCTGAGAAACTCTCCACCAATTACATTGGTAGATTTGTCACCATTTTGGGTCTCCCTTATAAAAGCAGAAGCTTATATTTTTCTAGCTCACTAAAAAAGATATCATTTCTCAGGCATTAACTCACATTAACTAAACTTAAAAAGACTGGAGGGCAAGTCAAATTGCCAAAATATAAATCTATTCTATTTATATTTATCAAATGCCTAGGCATTGGTGATACATTGGTAATTTTAAGAATTTCAAGTAAAATTCCTTCCCTCGTGAATGTTAAACTCCAAATAAGGGAAAAAGGTAATAAAAAATATGTGTGTTTCTATACCAATCATACAAAATCAGTTATTACTAAGTGAGAAAAATACAGTAGGAAAAGGAACAAAGGATGGAGGGATGCTACTTTAGACTGAGTGGACAGGAAGGGCTTTCTGAGGAGATGACCCATGAATACAGACCTGAATGAAGTAAGGAGGCAAGCCGAGTGGATGTGAGACCAGTGTGCAGACAGGAAAGAGCAGGAACAAAGTCCCTGGAATGGGACTGAGCCTGGCATATTTGAGAAATAGGAGACCAACAGGATTGGCTTTCAGTGGGCAGGCAAGGAGGAGAGTGGCAGGATGAGGTGGGAGAGGTAGTTAAGGACCATACCACACAGGCCTTATAAGGCTATGATAAGGAATTTCAGATTTAATTCTAATGTGATAGAACTAGTTGGAGGGTTTTAAACAGGGGAGTGACATGCTCAGATTTTCATCTTAAAAGGACCACTCCAGCTACAATGTGGAGAATTGACTAAAGAGGGAAAGGGTGACAACAGGGATGCAAGATAGGTACATACTGCAGGGTCAGATAAAAGATGATTGTATTCTAGAGCACAACGGGAAACTGTAGTGGAAGTAAAAAATGATGAGATTGGGAATACATTCTGAAAGATGAACTCAAAGTTGGGGCCTGAGTAATGGGTAAATAGAGGTGAATATTTAGGTAGGAAAACCAATCATGATTTTGGTTTGGGACCAAAATGAGTGTAGTAAGCCTATTAAAAGGCATGGAAAGGCATATTTTGAGTGGGCAGTTGAAGAGTCTGTAGTCTGTAATATGTAAAGCACATCTATGAAAAAATCTTGAGTTGATATGACACTTGACAAAATTTTGAAGGCTACTTCCTAAGGTCAGGCACAAAGCAAAGATGTCTGTTCTCATCAATTATATTAAAAACGTTATAGTAGAACTCCTGGAATTATAATAAGGCAAGAAAAAAGGGCAAAGGAAATAAAAATAAGGAAAGGAAAAAGTAAAATTTCCTTTATTTATATACAATAAGATCTTATATATAAAAAATCCAAATTAAAAAAAACTACTACAACTAATAAGTGAATTTAGCAAGGTTGTAGGATAACAAGCCAACATACTAAAACCAATTCTATTTTGTGCTGTAAGAACAATTAGAAATACAATTTTAAAATGCCATTTGCTATAGCATCAACATTTTAATATATTTAGAATAAGCATAGTAAAATGTGCAAGACCTTTACATTGAAAACTGTAAAATTTTGCCAAGAAAAATGGCCTAAATAATGGAGAGATACCATGTTTAAGGATTGGAAGACCTAATATTGTTAGATGCTATGACAATAGTACTCATAATATTTATAGCTTTGGATAGTAATGTAAAAAAAAACCTGGAACATCTATGGTGATAATAAAAACAGAACAAGAAGATGGCAGGACTTATTATGATGCTAAGTCAGTAAGAGAGTATGTTATTGACATAAAGATAGACATGTACCAATGGAACAGAAAAGAAAAGCCAAAGATACACTCCGAGTGGTTTTCATCAAAGACATCAAGGCAATTCATTAAAAAAAGGAAAGTCTTTTCAACAAATAGTTCTGGAACAACACAATATCCATAGGGGAAAAATGAATATTGATCCTCTATTTCATGCCATGAAAATAATAATAATGATGATAATTCAAGATGGGTCACAAATCGGAATGTTAAAGCCAAAATTATCAATCTGATAGAAGAGAACACATAGGAGAATATCCTGTCAACCTTAGGGTAGGCAAAAGATTTTTAGGACAAAAGCACTAACTCAAGAAATTTGATAAATCATACATCAACAAAATTAAAAACCTCTGCACATCAAAAGATATGACTAAGGAAATAAAAAGACAAGCC